CCCGCCGTGGCAGGGCTGGCTCCGTAGGGAAGGTCCCCGGCGCTGTCCCTGTCCCGGGTGGGTCCGTCCTAACGGAGAAGGGGCTTCTGGGCCTCTCTCGGTAGGGCTGAGCGGCCCTGACGCGTGCGGAGCCGCCGCCTCTGGCTCCTCAGGGCGGGGGAAAGGCAGGTGTCGTTGGTTCCTGTGCCCAGGAAAGTGTGGTGTTGGTTTTTCTTTACCCCTGGTCACGTTTGCCCTGCCAGCGCAGCCAGCAGAATGAGTAGGAGGCTGCAGCCAGCACTGGGAGCATCTTTCTGGCTGTAAGATAAAATGATCTTCCAGGTTATACCTGTATTTATTCTTGCCGTTTGGGTCAGGATTCGGCCTGCCTAAGTCTTAAAGAAGCATTGTGCAAGGTTAGAAATTCAGGAATCTCTTCCTGATTTTTTTCACTTCTTGGAAAAGCAAGTTTAGCATGCAGTCTGAAAGAGCTGTGAACATTCAGTTTAAAAAATATTCAGCTGCACTGTCTGTAGGACTTCTTTTTAGAATACATGATGCAGCAAGCAGCCTATCTGTGCTGAAAATTCATTTTCAGCCTGACGAATCCCTTGACCCTTCAGCTGAATCATTGTTTAGTCTTCATGAATATGGACATCTGGTCTTTAGAACTGGATATTTTTGGCATTTATCCAGTTTACTAACGTAATTGTTGTCAGCCTCCTAGACAGGTAAGACTTCCGAGATAGATTTAACTACCTTCATCTTCTGAAGTGAATAAGATATTTGGGCTGCCTTAAAACAAATGAACAATTTATTTTTTAATATTTTTTTTGTCTCATTAAAACCAGGGTAAAAGCTATGCCAAGACTCATGTATAGGATTTCCTTTGGTCCAGCACATTGGCTGTGTTTGAGATGGAATAATAAATGTAGCTTTTCTTACTGTCTGTCAGTGGGTGCCATTGCATATTCACATTGCATCTAATCTTTGATCTTGGTAAAAGTCTCCAGGAGGATATATATAGCTTATCATATATAGGTTTGTATTTATGCTTAAACTGTTTCTGTGACTGACTTATTAAAGACTGCTTTCTTCAGAAAGTAGTTATTTGACATTCAAGCTTGTAGTTACTTACAGCTTTCTCCAGCTTTTGCCTCAAATAATTATTTTTCTTCTATTTTTTCTTACAGCAATTGGAAGGCTTTGTGAAAAATGTAAGTATAGCTTATATATATAGTTGCTTGACAACATGGAGTTGTGGTTAGAGCATGCAGTTTGGATTTGGGGGACTGGGTTTTGTTTTGGCTTTAACCATGAACTTGAGGGTCACTCTTTGAGATGGGAACAGATACTTGTGTTTTGCAAGTGTAAATTGAGGAATACTTACAAAGTTAACTTCTCAAATACATTGTCACACAAATGCAGGCTGTTCAGGGTATATTCTGTCAGCATTTTCAGTAGCTGAGGCTACAGGATCTTCTTGATGGATTCCTTGTAACCTGTAATACAAAATTATCAGCCTGATCATTTCAAAGCAGGAAAAAAAAAAGAAGCATTTTTGGTATCTGACCACTTCACACCTTGAGAAAGGTTCCCTTCAGCATCTAGGAGAGTAAGAAAGGAGGGGGAACATCTAGAGTTAGAGCATAAACCCCCCCACAGAATCAAATGCCAGTTCTCAGCTGTAGAAGAGGAGAGTGAGCATGATTTCTCATTAGGTCATTGTTGGGGGACAGAGTGAAAGAGGTGGCTAGTTTGTGACTCAGAAATGGTATGAAGATAAGCAAAGTGGGAAGGAGCACAATCTGAAGCAACAGGATTGTTTTTGGGAGCGCTCAGCAGAGAAACAGATTCTCATTGGTAGAAGCTGAGGGCTGTCGTGCTGGAGATTGAGGAGCAGGTTAGATGAGCTGTTTGTGGGAGTCGGGATTAGATGCCTTGGGAACTGGTAATAGGATATGAAGCCTTTCATCCCTAGGTCAGTGTTTTGGATAAGATCCAGCGCAGCAGAGACTGTCAGTGGCATCTGATGGCTGTTTGCTGGTCTGATATGAGTACTTGAATTTCACTCAGTTCCTTGTGAGAAAGCAAAAGCAACTTTTGTGAAGTGGCTGTTTGTGCCAGTTTGCCCTTTCTTTGGCCTTCTCACAGAAGAGGGATTACACAGGTACAATTTCTTGTCTCTTGGAGGGTAGTAACTCCAGACTTTTGTTGATATGGCACTGGGAGAAGCTTACACTGCTGCTTCTGTCTAGGTAAGGACTCTGGTCCTGTCTGTCCAGTATATTTTTCACAAGTGAAAACTGAGGAAAAGTTCTAAGCATAAAAGGAATGGTGTGATCTAAGGAGGTGTTAGCTCATCATGGAAGCTGCTCTGGGTTTCTTCTCTGATTGTAAATGCATTAATAAATCCAAAACCTCAAATATTACAGGCTACTAGGCCTTGTTCCTCTGCAGTCTCTGTGCAAATACATAGTAGCACCCTATACCTGCAAGGTCAATTTCTGCAGTTCAGTTGTATCATCTTTGAGTGCCCAGGCGAGCTCTTTGACTGGGAGGCGTTTCCCCTTCCACGAGGGCTGGAGGAGGGTCGTTGTGTGGGTAACCAGAGGCTGTGCTGTGCTTGCAGGTGACGGGAAGTGCGTGATCTGCGACTCCTACGTGCGGCCCTGCACCCTGGTGCGCATCTGCGACGAGTGCAACTACGGCTCCTACCAGGGGCGCTGCGTCATCTGCGGGGGTCCCGGCGTCTCTGACGCCTACTACTGCAAGGAGTGCACCATCCAGGAAAAAGATGTAGGTTGTCATCCTGTGAATTGGTTATGTCTTTATTTAGGAGCTGTGATTGCCTTTAAGGGGCCTGGAGCTACAGAAGTTGGTGCTGGGACATGGGATGCTTTGTTTCTACTACCAGTATTGGCACTGGTTTTCATTACCTTGTACTGCCAGCTACTTCCCCAGCTGGTAGTTGCCTGTGTTTGGAAAGTGTTTTCAGATGTAGCATTTTGAGGTATTGTAACTCTCAATCCTGAAGCATCGTTGACTGCTTTGCACTGCACACTCATAATTTGCTTCCTCCACATGCTGCATGTTACCACTTTTAAGTTGTTATCTTGTTAGATCTCTCAGCCTAGGTTTTATCACAGTCAGACCTATTCCAGACACTAGGAATGCAGTTTTAGGAGCAGCTCCTCACTGGAAGTCCATTAGTAGCCACTAACAGAGGGCACATATGGTACTCAGAATCACCAGCCATATTTTTCTTTGGATTACAGTGTAGAGTTAGATCTTGGTGACCAGTGTCTGCACTACCAATAACAGTTTTACACATTTAAAGTTTCTCATACAGTTTCAGTGCTGTATGATTATTTTTTTTTTGTTCTTGGAATACCTTATATTGTAGGACATCACTTTTTCTAATGCTTTTTGGTGTAGCAATCCCTTATTTCTGTAGTCAGTGCTACAACATTTTTTAAATCTTCTTGTGCTGAAAGGTAACTGCTGCACAAGTGAAATGAGGCAGCTCTTTTCCCCCTGTAAGGTATTTGTTAATAACCCACACAATGAGTGCAGGATATGAAAAAGTGCAAATTAAGTGGTAGAAAGACCTTAGGGAGAAGTGAGAACATGATGCTTACAGTTGCAATAGCCCCAGAAGACAGACCTGATAGCTGGGAGAGTGTCTTGTAAAGGTTATTTGGGTTTTGGTGGTTTGCAAATGCCATGTCCATCACATGCTAATGACAAGTGGAGATCATGCCAAGAGAATGGTTCAGATTGATTTAGAGCAATATGGTCAGCTCAGTGAGTTGGTTTAATTCTCTGCAGTGCTTGTTTTTTTCTAGAGGCCTGCAGCTAAATTCAGGACAGGAACAGGCCCTCATCTGAATGTAGTCATTAGATGTGACAGGACCATAATCTTTCTTAGTATCTAAATATGGATAGAAGTGCTGTGATGGCAGTGCTGCCTCCTACTTTAGAAATGCTGTGAGAAACAGTAGTTTTGCTAACTTGCCTTTGGAACCAAGACACCTGGCTTGATACAGCTTATTGTGTCGGGTTCAGGTGTGAAATAGCCAGCTGCTCTGCAAGGGAGGATTGTAGAAAACAGAGCTGGAGTAGAAGGAGAATAACAAGTCAGAAGTAGTTTGACAGCTGGGTGAAGGCTGCTGTGGGTGAAGACAGTTTTTTTGTACCAGCAAACACAAATGTTAGGGATTATGGCGGGTGGGAAATTGCAGATCTGAAACAGCAGATTTGACATGATCGACTTGCAGGATTGAAAAGTGCTGGCACAGGTGTAGGGAGTCTGGAACGAGTAAAGTTAAGTGTGCTGACTGTTATAATTATGGTAGCTGGTGCTGATGTAAATAAGAAAAGCAAATGGACAGAGCTCTATACCTGAAGCTCTAACACTTCAATGTTTCGGTCACAGCACCTCCATCAGCCTCAGAGGAAGGCTGGGAAAGATAGTGAAGAAAGAAAGCTAATGGAGAGAGGAGGTGGAATGCTACTGGGCATGAGGCAAAGGGCCTGGTTCATTTGTTCTGATGGAGGGAGGAATGTGTTGTTTCACCCCACTTCAATCTGGAAAGGGCCAAAATCCCACCTTGTCACCCAGGACAGCTCTGAGTTGCAAAAAGCGATCTTTACTGGGGACAGCAGCATGTTCATGTGCTGCCTCCTTAGGAGGAAGTGGAAGAATGAACAGAGCCCTGCAATAATGCTATCAAGATTGTCACAGACTCGTGGGTGGCAAGGCTTGGAAGAGTCTTGCCACTGAGGTTCAAAATCAAATAAGGAGGCAGTAGCTGGAGATGGGTTGTGGCAAGTGTGGGGGAGGGATAATTATTTTTTCACCCCCTACCCCCTCCAGTATTTCTGCCATGAAGACCCTCCCCACTGGGTCATATCTCCTTCAGAGGAGCAGATATCGGTGGGGCAGTTTGGGTGCAGTTCCAACAGCAGCTGACATCTGTCCAGAGGCTTTCTGAATGTAATCCTCTCGGGCTTACACAACAGCCAGGGACACATGTTCCTCTGCCTGCTGGACCCCTCACAGCTGCTCTTGCCAGCCACAGCATTTTGCCCTCAAGAGTTATGCAAGATGCTGGCCTTAGGTGGCCCACAGTCAAATGTTCCCTGGTACACCAGGAGATGCATCTCTTATTTGTCTTTGCAACCACACCTCTCAGATGGGTCTCCCCCCTCCCCTTCTTGCTTTCCTGTGCTGTTTTCTCACCATCCACTGGAATTGAGGTACGAGAACTTACCCATGTAGCTGCTGTCAATAGCTGTCCTCTCCTAAGATGACCATACAGCCTCTGCAGTAATCAAGCCAGGATGCAGGAAATACGAGATTCAGTTCTGCTGTTACAGCTGAGAGGGGTCCCTAAACATGAGAATGGCTTGGTGACATCTAAAGGAACAAGATTCTTTTTGGCTAAGGAGGGGAAAGGTTACTTTTCTGGGCCCTATAAATCCTGTATATCCTAATTTAGAAAGAATCCAGTCTTGAGGCACTGAGCATCTTTTTCAATAAACTGCTGATGTTATATGAGCCTTTTTCCATCTTCACCCTGAGGAAGAGAATGTCCTGGAGTAATGTCAAAGAGGCATCCGTACTCTTTTCTGTTCCACTACCTTGCTGGTAGTAACTAGAATTGGAGGGCAGTTTGTCTGCACAGGTGTTCAAAATGTGTGTTGAGGACAAGTGAGGAGCACAGGAACTGAAAACCTACTATAACTATGTAAGTGATGATGTTTTGGTTTTTTTAATCTCCTAACGTACATCCTCTTTTCTTCTTTCAGAGAGATGGTTGCCCTAAGATCGTCAACCTGGGCAGTTCCAAGACAGATCTCTTCTATGAACGGAAAAAATACGGCTTCAAGAAGAGGTGATCCTATCTGTACATGGCTATACCTCCTGTTGGGTTGGCAAGAGGGTCTTGGAACATCTCTGGACTTTACTATTATTGAAAACTGGTTGATTATCTTTTTTTGAAAGCAGTACAAATTCAATAGTATACTTGGGATTGGATAAGTCACAGACTGAGTAGGGACTGAAAGCTGATCAGACCTGACTACTGGAAAGAACAAGTGAGGATTATTGTCTCTTGCCTTTTCAGAAGCTCTGCTGGTAGCTATCCCAGCTTGCTATAAAAATCCTGGTGGGCAAGTATTTATGTGTGGAGGGGTCCAGCTTAGTAAAAAGCAAGTGCCCTCTCTGGTGTGGGGCAACATCTTGCACATCTTCTTACCAGTCCTCCTTTCAATCATTAGAAACTGCCCCATGCATCAATATTCAGGAACAAAGCACCAATCCCATGTGCCTACTCCCCGCCTCCCTTCCTCCAGTATATTTCCATGCCACACTGTTTTTTAAGGAACCTGCTCATGGCTGGTGCTTTCCTAGGGAGAGCACAGCTGTTCCATGTTTTCTTTGACAGATTAATCCAAGGCCCTTTCTTGTAACTGTTTCTGTAGGATGCATACCAATAAAACTTCTTCTTTTGTTTGTTTTGGTTTTTTTTTAGAACAAGGATTTATCCCCAGTTTGTTCTTTTCCTAGCCTCTCCAGAGCTTTCTGGGGACACACGGGATTAGCGCAGCCAGAACTGCACAATGGGTTATCTGGTTTCTGACAGTGCCTGCTTATGGCCATGTGACCTTGCTGCAAGGAGCTTCAGGGAATGGTTATTGCTTTTGTCTGCCTGTGATCCCAGCCACTGATCATTTTGTCCCGTAGCGTGAGGATCGCTGAGCTTGTAACCCTTACCCTAGCTGATACGGTTGTGGGTGTTGTTTCACTGTGCAAGCATCCAATCCCTTTCTAAAACCTACTAAGCTATTTGACTCGCTATCCTGTTCTTGTGAATAAGTTAAAGCCTTCCCTGCTGTAACTGGAAACCAACTATTGTGCTGTGGGCTATTAGCAGTGTGCACACTGAAAACCGGAGGCTGCTTGTTTGTCACATACCAGAACAGGCTAAAAGCAGTCTGTTGGCTCAGCAGAGACCTGGGAACAGGCACCTTTATGCATGAGCACAGCAGAGTTCCCTGCTAGTACATTCACTCCCCAGATGGTTAAACTGGGCTCCTAGCTCAGCATGCCCTGTGGTCCTTGAAGTCTTCATAGTCTGTGCAGAACATGTGCTACAGTAATGCAATTCTCTTTGAGCAGTCTTGGGGTGCAGAACCTGTTCTGTGCCCCTTCCAGGATTTCAGTTGTTTCCCTGCGGCTAGTGCTGATTTCTCTAACTCTTGTCTGTTTTGAATGCCTCTTCTACCTGCTCTAGTCATTTGGGTGTTTCCAATAAGAGCAAAAATAAGCAGACAAATTGTGATCATCTTTCTATGTGCAGTAGGCTCTGTAATACAGATTTTTAATCATATGTATTGTTATTTGAGCCTAAATAATGGCTGCTGCAGCTGCAAACAGGGCATTTTGTCATAGTTGAATTATAGTATCTGGTATCTAAATATTTATTTTTCCCTAAAAGTAATTCCTTTCTGCTGCAGCTGGTCCTATAGCTATCACAGCAGTGCATCCCTCCCCCCAGCTATTAATTTTGTGTAGGTTTCTCTTCTAAGCTTTTTGCAGTCCTGAGTGTATCTGTATGCCTTCTTCCCTAACCATGGTTCCCGTAAACAGCTTCTGGTTAATTTTTACTAGCGTGGATGACATTTACCAAGATGTTCAGAGCAAACTGCTTCTCTGGTTCCAGCAAACACACTCTCAAAGTAATTCTACCTGAATAAGCAGCTGCCTCTTGTTCCTGACTGGTAAGCCCATGTCAGGGCCATTATCAGCCATGGTAAATTCTGTATTTCTTTAAAAGCAGGGCATGACATGCAGATTTTTTTGTACCTGGAACTTTATCACTTCAACCAGAATTTATCACTTGCTCTCAGTCAGGCCGCCCAAATTATCATACTAGGAATGCAGAAGTTTTACACTTACATTTTTCTTTCCTGGAAGGTACTAAGATAACAGAAGTTGTTCAGAGGGAAATGAAGTTTGAATTACTTCTTTTGTCTTGGAGCTACTGCCCCTGGTGCAGGCACCCCTAGCAGATCTAATTTTAGAACAGCCCTTGTTCCCGATCATTTACCAGGATGAGCCAGGCAGGGGTTGCTATACAAGTGTCCCCATCCCTTCCCCCACCCCCCAAAACGGCTGAGCATACTTACTTTCCTGGCACTCCGAGTGCCCTCACTGATTCCTGGGCATATCAGTCTGCGTTCTGGCAGCAGCGAGAGTTAAGCTGCCATTTCTAGTTGTTCTGAGTCACTGGGCAGGTGGAGAGAGGGAGGGACAGGCTTTTCCCCCTTTGCCTTGTTTGCTCAGACAGCTCTGGGGACAATGCCAAATGTTGCTGGTGCGCAGATCAGTTCAGTTCTGCTGCCTTTCTGGTACTTTCAGTGCATGGATGGGACATTGCCCTGAAGCCACTAGCTCAGACAAGGGTAATGGATACAGTTGGGTAGCCCGAAATTGCACATGTGGTAATGATTTCTGTTCCCCAGTAAATGAAGCTCAGGCAGGACCCCTAGAAAAGTGCGATGTTCCTTTCCTAAATAGAAGTTAAAGTACTTGCTCAATAGAAGATTTCTTGCTGGTACTGATGACCAGAGCATGTGCTAGAAGGGCAAGCTTCTCTGCAGGGGGACAAAGAGACAGGATATGGCCTACTACTCCATGCCTGCCAGGCTCCGAAAGGGCTTCACCAGAGCTGGATGCATCCCTCCCCCCAGCTATTAATTTTGTGTAGGTTTCTCTTCTAAGCTTTTTGCAGTCCTGAGTGTATCTGTATGCCTTCTTCCCTAACCATGGTTCCCGTAAACAGCTTCTGGTTAATTTTTACTAGCGTGGATGACATTTACCAAGATGTTCAGAGCAAACTGCTTCTCTGGTTCCAGCAAACACACTCTCAAAGTAATTCTACCTGAATAAGCAGCTGCCTCTTGTTCCTGACTGGTAAGCCCATGTCAGGGCCATTATCAGCCATGGTAAATTCTGTATTTCTTTAAAAGCAGGGCATGACATGCAGATTTTTTTGTACCTGGAACTTTATCACTTCAACCAGAATTTATCACTTGCTCTCAGTCAGGCCGCCCAAATTATCATACTAGGAATGCAGAAGTTTTACACTTACATTTTTCTTTCCTGGAAGGTACTAAGATAACAGAAGTTGTTCAGAGGGAAATGAAGTTTGAATTACTTCTTTTGTCTTGGAGCTACTGCCCCTGGTGCAGGCACCCCTAGCAGATCTAATTTTAGAACAGCCCTTGTTCCCGATCATTTACCAGGATGAGCCAGGCAGGGGTTGCTATACAAGTGTCCCCATCCCTTCCCCCACCCCCCAAAACGGCTGAGCATACTTACTTTCCTGGCACTCCGAGTGCCCTCACTGATTCCTGGGCATATCAGTCTGCGTTCTGGCAGCAGCGAGAGTTAAGCTGCCATTTCTAGTTGTTCTGAGTCACTGGGCAGGTGGAGAGAGGGAGGGACAGGCTTTTCCCCCTTTGCCTTGTTTGCTCAGACAGCTCTGGGGACAATGCCAAATGTTGCTGGTGCGCAGATCAGTTCAGTTCTGCTGCCTTTCTGGTACTTTCAGTGCATGGATGGGACATTGCCCTGAAGCCACTAGCTCAGACAAGGGTAATGGATACAGTTGGGTAGCCCGAAATTGCACATGTGGTAATGATTTCTGTTCCCCAGTAAATGAAGCTCAGGCAGGACCCCTAGAAAAGTGCGATGTTCCTTTCCTAAATAGAAGTTAAAGTACTTGCTCAATAGAAGATTTCTTGCTGGTACTGATGACCAGAGCATGTGCTAGAAGGGCAAGCTTCTCTGCAGGGGGACAAAGAGACAGGATATGGCCTACTACTCCATGCCTGCCAGGCTCCGAAAGGGCTTCACCAGAGCTGGGGGGGTTGAGAAGCCTGATTCAGGGGCTCCCTGGCTGCAGTTGTGAGGTCCCTCGCATGACAACTGCAAGGCAGGGTGCAAGGGATGGCTGCGTCACTGCAGCAGCTGAACCCCCGTGGAGCTGCTTCCAAATCCTGATTGTGTGGATCTAAATGTGTCTTCCTGCCATTACTTGGCTAGGTAGGATTAGCATGGGCTTTTTTTCCTCTCTTTTAATCAGAAGGATGTTATGTAATGAGTAAAAAAATCCCTTTATTTCAAATATTTACATTGGGGGAGGAACATGGGGCCCCTTGGCCTATTAAGTAATTGGGCTCTTGGATGCCAGTACTAACAAGGGATTGCCGTGTTCTGAAATGTAGATGCTCCCTGTCATGCACCTCCTCAGGCCAGCTACCAGCCACAGCTACTACCAAGCTTGGCAAATAGCTCCATAACCCACCTCTGGTCCTTGGAATCATCTAGACCTTGTCCTGGCAAAGCTCTTCAACCTGAAGCGTTACCTTCCTTCAAAAAGGCAAAACCACCTAGGGTGGGCAAAGGGCCCTAGTCTGTCTGTGAGCTACCCCTGAGGGAGCTGCATAGACAAAATCTTGCTTCTGAAACCTTATCTGCACAGGAGCTGTTATTTTCTTATTACAAGGATCAGCTAGAGATGTTGTTTGCCTGTTTCAACAGCAGGAAATAATTTTTCATTTCCTTGAGGTTGCCATGTGACTTGAATGTAAAGAGGATTCAGGGTATGGTGGTATTAATTACGCCTGATTCTAACCTGACTGCCCTTCCTTGGCATGAAATAACCCAGCAAGACGAGCTCTGTCCTGGCAGGCCTGGCGATCCCTTTTCCTCCCCTCCCCGGGTGATTTGGTAGCTTTGCTTTGACGTAATAGCCAAATGGCCAAGAATGCCTGAGCGGATACAGTGACAGGATTCCTCTGCCTGCATGTGTTCCTGGGCGACGCGGTAATTAAAGGAGCACGGTCAAGGCGCAAGTATTTTAAAGAGCCCTAGTGCGTAACACCCTCTTAGTAACACCTTATTAAAGCAACAATAGCATTTTAGAAATGTAATTGCCTGTT